TATATATATATATATATTGAATTTTGAACCTATTATATTATAATATGTAGTAAAAGAATTAAAAAATGCGTGATAAGTGGAGTATGTTGCTGATTCCATGACTATAAAAAAAATAAATAAAACAAAATTAAAATTCAGATTGTAGCAGATGCTATTCATTTCACTAACTACTTATTTATTATACATTAACGAACTACAGTTATTATTTATTATGCACTTTCTTTCCGTGAAAGATATAATAACATTATATTTAATGTCAAAACTTAAAAATTCATTGTAAACATTTATAGAAATGCGTATTTCTTTTAACGACAATAAAGAGAGTCGCATATATTTGTTTTATTTTTAATCACCTAAAATTTACATTCGAAAAAAATACGTTACGCTCTAAATTTGTCTCATATCTCTTATTATGTCTCATATCTCGAAAAAACCATCTCTCGCACAATAAATTTTCTAATTTTCCTCATTTTATTAAATAGAGAAATTCTCTAATTTAAAAATTAGATAACAAAGTTCTTCTATTTGTAATAAATTCTCAAAGTATCTGTCAACGATTAGCGAGGCCATGTACCAGCGTTCCAATCTCGATGTGTTTTCTTCTTCACATGATTCTTCGCGTATTACTTTCCTAGATTTATCTTAAGCGTGTTTAGCTTGACGTTTCCTAGGAAGAATCATCAGAGTGAGGCAACTAATTTGGTTGTCTTTCAAGAGAGGCATCATTCGATACTTTTATCTAAGACGGTCCATCGTGACATACATTTATAAGCCTACCGGACATTCAGTTTGATTAAGACTAATTTGTACGATAATATCATTTTCTATAATTGGTATAACAAATAAGGTAATTTAACATTTTATTATGTAAGCAAAAAATACAAAACGTCCCAAAAAGATATCACAATCGCAAAGATAAGAATTATATTTTTAATTATATTTTTCTTAAAATACTCTAAATTAAATGCAAACTATTTTGTTCATTTATAAATTTTATAAAAATTAATTTTAATAGAAAATGAACTTGACATTAAAACTATAAATTAAAAATCGTAATTAAGTTTTGCAGATAAATGCAGGAAAAATTTTAAGGATAAGATAAATCTTGTTATCGATATATACTTCTTTGGAACATCCTGTAGCTTGAAATCTAATCATTGATCATGAAATGTCCACACTTTGATCGACATTAAAACAAACTTATCCTGCGTACCTCTTATAGTTACGCATGCTTACGAATTATCCACAATTTTCGAATTCGAACACGTTAATACTTCGTCATTATAAACAACAAACATCTTAAAATATATATAGACGCATAAGTTTAACATAGTAATTAAAATTGAGGCAAAGTCTAACGTTTATTAACAAATAAATTAGTGTATATTACGGTTAATAGGATGTTATCCGGTAGACTGATCGGTTGAAATTCGAGCCACCTGATTTAAAGATGAATCGGATGAAAGAAATCGTGAAGAATGAATCAGAATCGAATTAAAAATTTATACTTTCGAGTTCACAAATAATATAATATTTTTGTAACATTTAAAAGAGATTGATGCAGTAGATTGATATAAAATTAATAAAAAATTAATTGATTTTGTAAACAGTTCTTCTATTAAATTCTGATTCAACTACAATCATATTCATCCGTCGTTATTATACTTTGATTTCTCATTCAGGACGTCCAATATTGTTTAAGATCTAACATTTGTAAAAGATATTTGATTTAAAGAAAATTGATATATTATAAACTGTGAAAGTCAACTAACTGATAAATCATTTTTATCACTTTTTAGAGAATCAAAGATTTAAGGACGTTTCAGAAGGAGAAACAGAATCAATCTGCTTTCGAATCAGATTGTTGGTAACCGTATAAGCATATTTACAAATTATGATTTTCTAAATCATCAGTTTAAACCCTTTTAACGGCAATATTGAGTTCATCTCATTTACGATTTCCAGTTCATTACATCACAAGCAATAATTAAGTTATTTGAATTATAGTAAACTATAATAGACTATGAATTATAATCACTTGTATTGTATAAATAACATTTATAATTGATCAAGTTTTATTATTATTATAACTGATCAAATTTTTCACAATATATGAGTTCACAAATACGATAAACTTAATCAAGAATTTTTTATATCTTTTACACAAATACAATAAAATATTAAACAAATATAATTTACCGCGATTAAAGGGTTAAACCATGCATATTACGTATTGTTTATTATGTCATATCCATTTGACGAGTTAAAATATTATTAAAAAATTCATACAATCGAGAGTTCATTTACATTTGTTATGTTCTAAAGATTCTTTTTCTCTTCTTTGCAATTTAAACAATAAGAAAAATCTTATATACAGTGTAACGATGTAAGGCTCCCGAATATTCAACATGTTGATACTCGGACAAGCGATTATGTAAAAAAACGATATCAAGCAACTTTTATTTATGCAATGAAAAAGTATATTGATAGCTTAAAATGTAACCTTTTCAGTTGTGTGTACATGACAATGTATTAAGAATAAATATTTTACGCACGTATTACATATCAATTTGATAAAATTAGAAATGCTAATTTTTAACAAAAAAAATATTTAGATTTTTTTGTATGTTTCTTATGCCTTATATGTAATATTAATTCGTAATAAATTAAAAAGATTTTAACAAATCATAATATTAATGTGCATAAAATGTATTTTTATTTATTTTATATCCCTTAATCTGCAACATAATTTTACATAATTAAATAAATATAACATACAAATAGATACAGAAACTATAAACAGTTCTCCTATATCACGCATCTCATTGTTGATCTTCTTCTTGAAATAATATTTAGATTTTACTTATCTTCTTCAGTGGTTATATCATAATTTCTCAAGTACAAGCCCGCTTGTATTTTAATACGATTTTCAAACTTAATTTTGATAAAATAAAAGACGTCTTTTTAATATCACGCAAACTAAAAAAATTATTTGCTTAAGGCTCGGGTATCTCAAGGCGCTATATTGATTATGTGACGACAGATTACTTATTACGTACAGTTTTAGTTTATAATTTACCCTTAAAAGCATAATAATTTCGTAATTCTGAAGTCTGTAAAATAGGCGACAAACTGAGACATCTATTCTAACTAAGATATGTCATGTAGAAGTGTAAAATAATTTCTAAATTAATACATAATTCCTAAAGTAGCACATTTCTTAGCTGTCAAAAATCGTTGCATTATTTCAGAAATTATTTTGTTTGCACATTTTACAGATTTCAGGATTATGGAATAGTATTGTTTTTAAGAGACTATTAAGAAATAGCGCTATATATGTACATAACAATTATCTAATGTTATACAATTAATATGACGCCACGAGAGAGCCAAGCTTTAAAAGCAACAAAATTTATGCGACTATTATCACTGATTATTAAAAATAATTTTATCTCACATATATGAAACATATATAACGTATAAAAAAACTCGATAAAAAATTGTTCATGCATAAATATATACACACATATGTACCTATAGGTATATATATATTCTTTATATACAATACATGAAAAATTTTTTACCGGAGATACATTCGTAAATCTTCATTGAGATTTTAAAATATATTTTTATAGTTTTATATATTTAAAAAACTTCATAACAGTAATTTATAATATATACTATCAATATCAATTTTATATTTCTAATCATTAGTTTTAAAATTATTAAAATTTTTATTTTGTGCGTTAAATTTATCACTTTTATGTATTTCATCGAACAAAACAGCGTGAAATAATTTAAAATTATTTTAAATAAATTTCTAATTTAATCATTCTAAAAATTATAGTTGCATTTTCTCATTTTATATATTTAAATGCTATTTATTTATTTATTTAATATAAGAATCGCGTTCATTGTATTCATTAGTTGAGAACTATAAAACCACATTTAATGCTAGATGTAAGATGTGATTACAACTTAAATTGCGGAATCCAGATAAGCATTCTGACATCGTTCCTCACTTCTCCGAGTACCTGTGCTTAATAAATCGTCTTAAAAATAGTCGTCTTAAAAGAGTTAAAAGCACGAATCTCCGATCTGCAGACTCGTGAAGCTAATGTAATGTAAACGATTGCCATAATTCGCATTGCTTCTGTCTCTTTGTTCTCGATACAAGCAATAACCTTTTTTCAATCATTTCGCGACGAAACGGACCGTCGATACGATCGATCGATCTGTTGACACTCATACCTCGTCTTTCGTCATCGTTCTCATCCGAGTCGGCTCGCGGATTCTTCCTAGGAAGCGTCGCCACTTCCGGTTCCCCGGGCCATGAGATCGTCGAGTATCTCTCTTCCGGGACGGTCGGACTCACCTTGACCGAGCAAGGTCTGAGACGCTATTCGCGCTCCTGTCTGCTCGGCAGCGCCGGGACGACGTTCCGCGCCGTGTCGCTCGTTCAGCTATCGACGCTGAAGAGCTCCTTGTGGAGGGCCGGGAACTCGAGATGCGGTTGCGACCGCTTGAATTTCGCCAGCGCGTCCATGTGCAGCAGTGAGATCTCCCGTAGCTGCGGTATCTTCGCGAGAATTGCGTCGCATACGGTCACATCGCCCTTAATCGGCGTCACATGGTTCCGATCTAGTTCTGACCTTAACGCTCTGATCACCGCCTGCGACAGCCTATTGATGTCTCCCAGGCACTTCAGTCCCGGTCGATCTATGTAAGGTATCATAAGTCAGTCAACTATGTTGTATGTTTGAATAACGAAAATAAAAATATGAAATTCTTTTTCTCTTATTAATTTCTTTTTTAATCCATATAGAACTCAACTTTACAGACGTTTTATCGCAAAAAATGCTATATAAGTAATATAAGTCAGATATTTTTATAAATTATCTGAGAGTAAACACAATTTTCTTTCAGTCTGAATATAACAAATAATAAATGAATAACTACTAAAATGTAAAGAAATGATAAATGTTGATAAAATAAAGTATACAATGAAATATATATATATATATATATATATATATATATTTCATACGTAATGCATCGTACTTACTTGCTAAACATAAACTAACAGTAATATTGCGTCAATATTATAATTTCCCACTCAACTACGTAAATATAATAAAACACTCTCGGTGAAAATTTTTCTTAGAATTTTTAAATACGAATTAAAATTCTTTTCAGAAATACTTAGAGAGTCTATATATATTTTTTCTCAGAATTTTTCATATATGCGAATTTTAAAACATTCTAAAATTTGAATACAGAAAGTCTAAAAAATTCTAAAATTTACATAAAAATTTTGAAAAATTATGAAAAAATTTTTTTAATCTTTTTATAAAATTTCGAAATTTTTTAAGTAGTTTTATAACTTTATAACTTTTTTAAAAAAATTTCTCAGATCTTTATGCTGAATCTTAGAGTATTTCAGAATTCATAAATATTAAAAGTTCTGAAAAAAGACATTCTGAGTATTTTTGAAATGTATTCCAATTATTATTTGTCATCACACTTTGTCATTAAAATGACGTCTTTGACGTCATGCGACAACTTATTTCTTGGAATATATTACAGTTAGTTTATGTTCAACGGGTACTAAGGCAAAAAGCACGTACATTGTAATATTAGAATTTTAAACTAACGATAATAACACACCGAAAGAAAAGATTGGTTGCTGCAACAATTTAGATAATAAAATATGACATAGCATTTTTAATCAGCTGCAGCAACCAGTTTTTGATTGTAGCAGCAAATTTTTAGTTGTGTTAACCTATCGAAATCATATACTGACATTGCTGATTAAAAATGCTATGCCGTATTTTACTATTTAAATTGTTGCAGCAACCAATCTTTACGTATGCAGACTTTTTTTCATTACAATTTCAGTAAATTTTATCTAGCAGATTTGTGAAACACTGTATGTTCGTGCTACTCACCAGGGCTAAGTAGAACAGCCGCGCTATAGAGCGCCAACTCGGTTTCAGTGAGTTTCAGTTCGGCGATGCTTCTGGCCAGCTCGAATACGCAGGAAACAAGCTTCATTTCCGCCGTATCCGTCGTATAAAATGCCTCCTGCGGTAGCAAGGTGTCGCCGTATAGGACGCAGTTTTGTTGGAGATCGAGGTACCTGCTCATTCGTAGCACAGCCAACTCGAAGGAACCTATTACATTTCAGTAGGATAATAGCATAGATATTTCAACTGCATTTCATTTTTTTACTTATCTAAACTTTTTAAAAAACTGACGGATATTGTCTTCATTATTCTAGTGTAATAAGAGATGATTACGTATTCAAGTATGGCAACTATATATCTATTAATTTATTAAGCGATTTAGTCTCATTGTATTATTAAGTTATAATATCAAATTATACCTAATCAATTATTTCTAATCATTTCTATCGTCACTGCTCCTATTCAACATGTCGTTAATTGAAACAATAAAGTTAAATAATTTAACTTGAAAAAATATATTTTGCTAAAATTTAATTAAAAAAATTTTAGTTTATTATATTTACTAACAAAAAGTACATACATAATTTAATTACATAATTAAAAGTACATACATAATTAATTACTAACAAAAGTTAATATGGTTGTTGTTCATAAAATAATCAAAAAAATTGATTGATTTATATTTTGACATATATAAAAATTATAAATAATAAAATATTATTTTTTAGACTCAAGAGAATGGGTTGCCAATGCTCCTTAGATATTTAACATGTGAAAAGGCTTTTCTCTTGAAAAGTTTTTCCGCGATTTTAAAAACATTATTTTGAGAAAAATAGCTTAAAAAATTCACAACGCTCTTTTATTTAAAAAAAAGAAAGATAGAAAATATAGTCTTTTAACAATAGATTAATTCATATTAATGTTTATTTTTTATACATTAAATTTTCAAAAAACAAATTTTCAATTCTTTCTATTTCAATGAGACTAATCTCTTAACGCTTGAAGAAAACTGCAGTAACAAACCTTCTAAAATTTTTTAATTTTTTCAATAATAAAATAGATAAAAGATTAGATTTGTCCAATAAATAATTAGAAAAAGAATAAAATTATTAGTGACCGCATGAAGTATAATATGTATAATGCAGTTGCTTACCTGTTCCACTTAAGAATTAAAAATAGAATAATTAATCTTGAGATTAAATTCTTAAAATTTGTGATCAAATCACGCGCAAGAGCACGCAAGAGAGCAATATAGTTTTATCGCTAGAACTAGTGCTTATGCCGATGCAGTTACATACCAGCCTTTAATAAAACAATCTGGTCGTCCTGCGAGAGCTTCATGAATCCAGGGACCATTTTGGCAAATTCGATGATCTGCTGGATAACGGTGGTCAACTTTTGGGCGCACTCCAACCAGAGCTGCTCATGTGCCATGTTCTTGTAGTAGATCATTCTGGTGATGTCGGTGGGCTTCCGGAAGGATTCCTGGATTTGTTCCGTCGACACCAGGCATGTCCTTGCGTGCGCGTCCGCTATCGTTTTCGAGAGAAGCTCGCTGATTTGTGCCGGATCTGCGAAAGTCCGGCGAATTTTCCGCTCGTAAAGTTCCTTTCATAATATACATGGTTAAAAAATAATAGCGAAATAAAAAAGATAAGAGAGTTTATCCGGTAAGCCGGTAAAAAAATTTTTAATTAATCTCAAGCACAGCAAATGTGCAATTGTACGATTCATATTAATCTTTCATTAGAATAATTATCTTTATAGAATTATTTCATAAATTGTTTTTTTTTAATTATTGAAGAATTATATTTTTATATTTATTATATAGGAATTTTATTTCTATTAAGATATTTACAAGAATCTTAGAAGTAGAGATATAATAATGGAAATAATTTAAATAGAATAATTTATTGAGTGGATTATTATGTTACAAAGAGATAGATAATTCATGCAGAAGATGTGTTTGTGTGCATTCGAATGTTATGCATATACTTATATATACTAGATATTGATTAATGATTAAAATTAGAAATAATATAAGTATTTATATATACATACAAATATACATATACAGAGTCTTCTAATTATGATATAGCGTATGTAAGTAGAGCGAATTAAACTTAGTCGAAAAGTCCTGTACCGTTTTGCAATTTTTACAACAGTTAATGAGATATTAATTTCTAAAGATTGTCGAATAAGCAAGTAAAATTGACGTATAAGATATTTTTCAAAGTTCTTTATAAAATATCTTAAACATATTTCTTAAAAAACTCTTAATAACTTAAAGTTGTCTTGATTTTATATATTTTGCTCATTGGATAATTTAAAAAAATTGTAAAAATTAGAGGACACCCAGTGTGTGTGTATATTATGTATACTATATACATACATATATACATATATAGGTATATAATAAAGTACTTAAGAAAAAATCTTGCATAATTAACGCAAGAAATATATTTTGTTTTCAAAGAAATATATTTACATTATATACATATACTTTTTTATAATGGACTAAAAAACCATCTTCAAACAAGAAATATAGATAAAAAACAAACATAAAAAGCATTAAATAAATTTTATATATTGTACAATCGCGTGGAACATAAAATTACTAAAAGCAGAAATGTTTAGAATTCCGTGAAAAAAAGTTTCTAGAGTTTATGAACTATTTACGTACATCGTACAGAGAAAATAAAAAACGAATCGACATACAAAGATTAATAAATGCTAGATTCTACAATTTTTTAGAAAATGCAATTATGAAAAAGATAAAGCGTGGAGAAATATATTTTACATAATAATTAAATATAAAGTAAATTAACCATTTAAAATAACATGCGTAATGCAAACATTCAACTTTTGAAATGAAATTTTAGAGGACCAACATTTTACCAACATTTGTAATTAAATACACTAAAACGTTTATAATAATTTTATCGCGTCAGCAAGTACATAACGTCATATCTTGTAACATAAAAGAGCAAGTAATTTCCATTTTTGAATAACTCTTTATGAATTTTTCATGAGGCTGGACTAGTTTTCACGTTGATTAATGAATTTCGTTGGTAAATCACCTCAAGATTCCATATTATAACATAATAATTTCACCTCATCATTATCTTAAATTATTTTAAGATATGGTATAATTTTTTTAATCATTATAATTTATTTATTTTAAAAAAATGTACATATATATTCACGTGAGTCTAGTACTAAAATTTTATAAAATGTAAATTACAAAGACGTAACAAAATATTATCAAAAATATAAAAATTTCACAGATTGTTCTATTATTATGTTTGAACATTTATGTAAAATTTGAGCACAATTTTCTTATTAGTTTAAATTATTTAATTTAATTTTTTTGTTAGTCTTGATTCTTATATATGTAAAATTGCGTTTTATAATATTTATTTGCAAATTTAATTCAGAAAGTAGCATTAAAAATTAAATCAAATTTTAAACATATATTGATCAAGCAATCATAAATATTCGTGCAAAAGTTTATTTAGTTCCTCTTATTTGATTAAAAGTTATTGATTTAACAAGAAATATGATCATTTTATTATATAAAATCGTTATAAGTCAAACTATTTTTTATTTTTTGATTTCACGGGCTAATATCATCCGCATTTTTTTGAATGATAGTGGCTTATTTTTGGCAAAGATAACTATATAATAACAGAACATCCTTAAAGAGATTGATTAAAATAAATTTCGCTGAACTTTCATAATTAAATTTCATCGCGAC